CTCCTGTTCCCCCAGCCCCCGGAGGCCGTCCCGCCTCTCCCACCCAATCCTGGCCTTTTCTGCCGCCCGGCCCCCCGGGCGCAGCAAACGTCTCTTAAGCCCCGGGACAGCTGATCGGCTGCCACACGTGAGTATCTGGAGAGGGTCGGAGGCCGCCCCACGCGGCCCGGGCCGGGGGCCAAGCGCTTGTCGCCTCGTCTGTCTGCGCTGCAAACGTTTTGGCCTAGTTTTCAGAGCCTTATTCAAGTGCGTACACGTGGTCGGTCTTCTTTGTATTGTATTGCATTGCATAAAACGGTTTTTTCACTCAGCTCCCCAGAGATCGGCTGTCCTTTTCTCGATCTGCTTGGGCGTGGGCTTTGGGTCGGAGTGACCGTCCCTCCTGTCCGCCACCGGGGTCTCGGGTTGCGGCTCTCGCGCTGGGCTGTTTGGGATGAAGCAAAAGCTGGCGGACTCGGAGTTCGAATTAAAAGCTGCTCGTTTGTCAGGTCTGTACCCAGCCTTTTCACCAGGGGCTCACGGTGGCGTCCAGAGGACTCCCTCCTTTCCCCACAGCCGCACCCCTGCGAGGTAGGTCGGGCTGAGAGAGACCCATTCAGGTGGCTCCCGTGGCTGTGTGTGTGTGGGGGGGGACCTGGCCCTCCCTGCTGGGCGTAGCCCCGCTGGCTCTTGAGAAAGTCGATTTTGGTTGCCCTTTGGGGCCCCTTGGGCTGCTCTGGCCAGAAACCACCCAATAATGTACCTTCCGCCAGTAGCGGCTTGGCCGAAAAGCGAGACCTTTTGAAAGAAGTATTTTAGGATTGGGAGCAGGAAGGCAGAAGCTGTTCATGGCTTGCTAAGAATATGCGCTCCTTCCCTGGGCATTTTCCCGTTTTGCAAGTCCTCCTGCGAGGTCAGATCTCTTCGCCCTTGATGCCAGCAGAACCAGTGCAGGGGGTCGTGAAGGGAGGAGGGGGCTCTCAGAAGGCTTTTAAGGGAGAAATATGAAAAGCCAGGTAACTCTGAGGCTTCGGCGGGCACAGCCCAGCAAGCGCTGCGTGGTGGCCATTTAACCTCCGTGTTGTGGGTCTCACAGCGCCTGAAGTGCCAACGCAGGAGGCCAACCTCTCTCTCTCTCTCTGGCACCGCGGAGGCCTCCTTGGCCGAGGTAGAAATGCCTCCTGTGCTGCAGATGACCGCAGAGGTCACTCAGCCCTCGCGCCTTTCCACAAGTTGCCAGCCTGCGGGGACCAGAAGGGCCCATCGCAGTGGAGTCGCCTGGGGCGGAAGATGGGGCCTTGCGTCTCCCGGCCTTTCACGACTCTGGTCGGCTGCTCACAGGGGGAGAGGGGCGCCCTTGGCCCCCCAAGGCTGGTCGTGGAGGCATCTGCTTTGCCCATCGTACCCCTTGCCCGTAAGACCACATCCACGCTGACCTTTCCCCATATTTGCACACCCGGTGGCTTCGGTTCCCCCCCCACCGCCAGGCACAGGCGGCAGCCGCTCTGCCTGCTTCCCCCAGGGGCAAAGTCCGCCGCCTCTGCGTGGGCGTCCTGCCCGTCCACAGCTCTTTTCTTGCGTCTTTTCCCAGTCACGTTGCCTGGAGCTGGCCGTGGGCCTTTCCTCTCTGGCCGGGGACGATGGAGCGTCTGTCCCAGGGCCTGAGCGGTGCCAGGCTGGTGCCGCAGCCTCTTTCCCACCCAAAGGACAAAATGGGCCTCGTGGGAAGAGGAAGGCCACGCTCAAGGGCGGCGGGGAGGCGGCGGCCCCGCTGGGTTTCCCTTCAGCGTTGCTGGAGAAAGGTGCGGGAAGGTCCTCCCACCCACCCCTAACAGAGAGAGGCCGGGACAGCTTCTTGCCGTCCTCGGAGTCAGCTCACTTGGAGCCATGAGGACTAGAACCCCCCTTTTGCCTTTAGTAAGTCATTGCTCAGAGGCAGAAGGTGCTTCATCTGGCGTTCGCTTGCTGGAGAAGTTCACCCCAGAAAATGGACAACACCCTCAACCAGAGCCAAAACTCCACTCGGGTCCCTCTTCCCTAGACCCTCAGCCGGGTGGCACCTGCCTCGCGGCCCACGCTTCGCCCCTGAGCCGGTGCCAATCAGCCCGCGGAGGCTG